GTAAATATGATCATACTTATAAGATTAAGTGTAACTCTGAGTTAATTGAAAAAGGTTTCAATGAATGACAGAACGAATAAGAAGAAACAAGAAGGCAGAAAGATAAAAGTTTCTCTATTCTAAGAAGAAGGGAGAGTAAATTTTATTGTGTTTTATGATAGGTCTTAATGATTAAGAACCATGTCTCAATTGATCCTCTAAGTGAGTCTTAGTGCAACTGCATGCCTAAGAAGAGGAATCGAGAATTGTAGAAATGGTTAAATCAACAAGTCAATCATACTTCGTTCCCATATCAAGTCTTAGAGTCAAGATTGTGACTTGAGTGAAACGTCTTAAGTAGGTTTATAACACTCATCAAATGTGGAATTTGGAAAGGTTTTCTAATTTTTGCACCTTTGAAATTGGAAAGTTGTGATGTCTTGGATAAGACAAAGACCAACTAGGACCAATTTTGTGAAGTGTTTTGTCTTGATAAAAGTTACACCAACTCTTGAATATTTCTTTATCAAGAAGTTTCTTGACAAGAGAATCTTATATGTCAATGAGTAAGTGGGAGCCTTAATGGTCTTGAAAGGTTTCAAGAACAAATTCGAGAATAAACCTAGTTAATCATCACTAGCACATGACTTGAGGTTTACAACCTATCATGTTGACATTATTTTGTTTCTGTGCCATTCCAATTGAGTTAATTATGTATGTGAGTTCTACGAGTTCTCATTTGAATGCATAAAGACAAAGGGCTTGATCGATGGAAAGTACATTGATATGTAAGGATAAGTTGCTAAACTACTTGGAAGACATGGTGGGCACTCGTGTTACCATAAGGCTAGAAATCAAGAAAGTTCAATCCATATGAGTTTGGATTTGTCGCAAACTTGGTTTTGGAAAATTCACATGGATAGGAACACATACACCATAAAATCTAAGTGTCATAAGATTCGCTCCTTCATGAAAATGACTATGATGAAATGCTTTCACTAAGAGAGATTTTAATAAGACAGCAATTGTGAAAATTGTATTCTCAAGTTCGATTATGGTTACGACATCCCTTTCCATAGTTCGAATTGTAAGATGTGGAAGTTAGTCTAACATTTAGGACTTATTGATATAAGTTCTGAATTGTTTAGACACACATATGAGCTATCTAAGGAAAAGGTGTATAAGTTTAAGAAGCTTAGATAAAGGCTTATCGAAGCATCTGGTATTAGAAATATGAACCTCAAAAATTCAATAGGCATTGTTTTCTGGAAGTTCAGCTATTTTCTGAATACATGTCAAAGCTAGTGGGAGCATAAGTGTTATGCTTGTATGATTATTATGGCAGGTATTGCAAGTTAGAAATATTAATTATAGAAAAACAAAGATTCAATTTTCAAAGTTGCATGAGTTGAAACGTTGTTGTGCTATAATTAAGGGAGAGAATATTATACTTCGTTTCAAAATCTAAAGCTTAGATTGAGAAATTTTAATAAATTTAGTCAAAGGATACATAATGTGTTCTTAAATTTCGATTATGATTACGGCATCCCTCTTCATAGTTCGAATTGTGAGAACGTGCCACATAAAATATTATGGCAGAAGGTCGATAAAGTATCATATCTTTATGTAAGTCATTATGCATCGTGTCCCATACACTTCAGGTATAGGATCAATTGCAAATGCTATAATATTTGACCATTCTAAAAATTTCCAAATGTCTAGCGCATTAAGAGGGAAAAAGGATTAGAATAGGTTTTGACTAAAATAATTAAACAACTATCAAAGGACGATCCAAAGTTCACTGAGGATTGATCGCTTGTAAGTAGTTGCAAGTATGGTATTGGATGGACCATATCGACATTATTATGAATAGATCAGATTCTATTAAGAAATGAGTTGTCATATGGCAAATATGGAAATGTTTACATATTGGGAGTTGGATATTGACAGTCTATATCTAGATTAGAAAATTTTATGCAAGAAGGTTGTTCAAAGGAATGTACTTTGAATGTGAGACTTCACGTCTATGGAATTGTCTTGTAACAATTTCCGATAGAGTACTTTGTAATTTCATTGGCCAAGTCTTAGTGACTTTTATGCTATGATTTTGCGAAAGGATCGTTGCATAAAATGTGAGAATCTAGCATATTCTAGTAGTGGCACGAACCTTGTGTTCTAACACTAATGATAAGTATTGGGAATTGTGAAATGAGCATCATTGGAAAAGTTTTTCAATTGACCTATTTCACAAAGTAAGGACCATAGGAAACATAGTGTGCATGCTTTATGCATAGGACAACTATTGTTGTAATTTGAATAATTAGTTGATTTTCTGAAACAGTAAATGATGAATAATGAGTAATACATATGGTGTTTAGACAAAAGTGTTTTATTTACTCCCACAAGTTTGGGTCCATATAGGATTAAGTATTATTATTGTGTTTCAATTTTGCATGTTTTGACATCCAGAATAACTAGGTTATTCAAACCTCCACAATCGGTCATACGTTGGAAGTAGGTATGAAGGAAGACTGTCATGAAGAGTCTGTAGATTGTCTAAAGAGTTTAGACATAGCAAAAGTTTGCTGCAGAGTTCATGAGTGCTTTAATAAGATTAGAGTATTGGATTAAACCCACACTCACAAGAATCACTTCATGGATTTCATCACGAGTGATTGTGAGTCAATAATATTGTATATTCTTGAAACCGAGACGTGTGAGTTGTTATTTATTGGCCGGTTGCACATTGATAATAAGTAAACGCACTAGTAACTTGGTGTTATAAAACTTATTGTTGTGGGTGATTCAATCAGTAAATGCAAGCGAGCATTTAAGTTGAAGTTTATCCATTCCTTTTACCCAAAGTGGGATAAAAGCGATATTTGTAGGCCCCTCGATGATTTAGTGATGACACCTAAGTGCTTGGCTAAGCCGGGACTAAATTGATGTGTTCAATTGTAGTCTGTTGTCAGTCGTCATAAATGGGAAGTCTCGAAACAGTATAGAGAGAATGATTAAAATTCATGTCTTGTGTTTATACGATATCTTGAGAATGGATGAATATATGATCCCTTATCTAAAGCACATGCATATCTGATAAGATCAGAGTTGACAGCGGCTTCTGAAAGCTACGATTGCTGATCAGGTTCTGAGGTCATACGGAAAATAGTTATTAGACTTATCCAAGTGGGAGACTGTTGGATTAGTGTCTAAGTCCATAACTGTTTTGGTATGTACTTAACCTGATTATGAGCATGGTCCTTTTTGGTTGTCTTCACAATAGCAATATGTAGGATGAGTTAAGGAGAGAAATGATTAATTATGATTTATTAATATATTATGAGAATAATATATTAAAGGAGAAATCATATTGTTTAATTAATATTAGTCAATAATTAATTAAGAACTAATTTTGTGGCTAAAAGAGATTAATAAACTTAGGGGACTGGAATTGTAATTATAATATAACTGAAATTGGGCTATGGATCACCTTGGAATAATAGGTTGGATGAATTCTATGGGGAAGCCATTAGAAATCGTCCAAGGCATGTTCCAAAAGGGGTCCATGGGCTGCTTAGGGCTTAAGCAGTCAAATTAGGGTTTCCTTGTTTGATAACCCTAATAGCCTAAGTATATAAGGAACCCTTGGGCACCAAAAACGTGGCTAACACTTCCTTTAGGGTTTCCAGCCGTTTTTGGTGCCTCCCCTCTCTTCCCTCTTCATCCAAGTTGCTTAATGGTGTTTGTGACTCCATTAGAGGTGCAGCACTTGAGGCACTAAGCTTTCTGAAGCCAAGGATTAGATTGTTATTGATATATAACAAGCAAAGGTTAGATCTAAACCCTATTTTATGTTAATATGATTAATTGTATGCTAGATCTATGGTTTATAGCTTTGGATATTCAATTGCATGTTCGTTAGACAAACTAGATCCAAAAGCTATTAGTATTTGCATGTACACCATAGGAATGATGTATTGCTCAAAACCCATCAGTAACATCATCTCTTGCTCCGCTAAACACTAGGTGACTATTTCTCGCTCTAGTACGGAAGCAAAATACGAATGAGTTGCTAAATATGGTTGCAGAATCATCGTGGCTTTGTAAGTTACTGAGAGAGCTTGACTTCATTCTTACAAAAGCTATAATATTGTGCTTTGACAATGTGAACGTGCTACATGTCCACAAACCCCATTCAAAATCAACACACAAAGAACGTGCTACATGTCCACATCTTTACCGAAGGCCTTCCCTCCTCTCTATTTCTTGACTTCAAGTCCTGCACGTTCATCCTGCGCCTACCTTTATGACTATATGTATTTTATGTATTATGTTGTAAGCCCACTATTATGGCCCATGGCCTTTCTACACGTTATATATCCCTTTATATTTATTGTGAATACCTAAATGACTTTTGAGGGGAAAATATCATTTTAATTGTATTAACTACTAGTTGTCTGCTTGAAATTTTAGTATTTCATAGCATTGAACCAAAATAAACTTGTTTAAATAAGTTTAATATTTTTTGAAGTTTTGGTTCTAACCCTCTCGTTCTAGTCTTAGTTCTAGTTTATGTGTTCCGCCCCTAACTTCTAATAAAAACTCCTACTATATATTTGAAACAAATAATCAAGAAGAGTTAAAATTTTGGGATTATATTAAATAGTAATCTAAACATATGTAGGCCCCTTTATTCTATAATTCTGACTTATCGTTCTCCCAATGCCACCAAAATTAACGAAGTGTGGAGACTACAACAGTAAGTAGAGCGGCATTTGTCGATCTGTTGGTTTTGTCATGTTTGTCTATGTACTCTAATCTTCAGATCGTAGTTTCCCACATTATGTTGCTCTTCTTGAATTCTGTCAAGGGATTCAACAACGGGGCTAATGTCATCAGTTTCAATAAGCTCAAGCGTCGAGATGTCCCCAATTTCGAGTGAAACCTCTTCAACATAATTGCATTTCAAGTTTTTGCAATTTCAAGAATTTTAGTTGTGGAAACTGCTCCTCACCAGTGTCTCATTGAGATTCTTCAAATGCGTTGTCAAGTACGTTGAGTTCCTCAAGGTTAAGTAACGACTGAATTATCAAAATATCACTCCATGGAAGACGACACCATAGTAATGTAAGTTTTTTAATTGTTGCAGGCATTGTAAAGTGATTCTTTTCAAAGATCGGCTCACCTTTCGGAAAACCTACCTCCATTGAATTCTTTCTGCTACCTGACCCAATTAACTTCAGTGATTCAAGATAAGCTGGTGATTTGAAGTCATTTTCGTCGTATGTGTAAAGTGGACATGTAAGCTTCTTTATACCAGATTGCAGATTGAGGATGGGAAAGACCTCGAGGGATACCAAATTGCAAGGTACCTCAAGTGAACAAGTAAGGGTATTACATCTGGAAAGTGTTTTCTATTATGGACACATTTTTGTAGATCCAAAACCATTAAAACCATGTATGGGTGAATATACTCATCGGAGTTGAAAATCATAGATGATTTTGTATGAAAACACAAGAGGGATCGAATGCTTGGGATGGGCGGATTAGACAAATTCATGATGTTGAGGTCGTTATATGTGAATACATGTCGTTGCTTGTGTGTCATAATAACCTCAACAGGATAAGAAGACATTGGCTTGTGCCTCTTCTGCAGCTTGTTTGAATCTTTTCTTGAGATTTCTAACTTTTTCGTCTTCATCTTGGTCGATAAGAAAAATTCGGATCACGCGACAAAGCTCTTCATAAAGCTGTTGGAATTGAGGCATTTCATACATAATGGAAGGGTTGTTGATGATCGGTGGGTTATCTTTACAGTAAATTAGCTCCTTCAAGTTGTTCATGAACAACTGAAGACCTGCGTATGTCATCTTCTTTCTTCCTCTCTTTTTTTCTCCGAAGAAGGATATGCCAAGATGGTTGTGTTGCGTAGAGGTGCACCAAGTTAATTGGATATGGTTTGAGTTTCACTTTAATAAAGTTTTCCTGGAAGTTGAAAATGAAAAGGTGTTGCGTTTAGTTATTTCTCTTGTCGTTGCATTAAAATGTTTTGTATTACAAAATGATTCGGCATAACTCAAAAAAAGGGACAAAATACTGAATTTCGGAATTCACTAATTTTGTATTATGTCTCCATTCATATAAGATGATATCTTTTCTTATTCCGATTGCTTGGTCGCATGATGACGTATGAGCTAATTACTAAAGGCTGGGACCCAATATATTAGGACTAGTATTATTTGCAGTTGCACCCATATTGTGTATAAAACCTTCTAAACATATGTTGATACTACACAATTTGGATTTCTTGTTTGTTATATTCGTAAATTTTGTATTTCTTATCGGAAAAAAAAACAGTTAATTATCTGATGATTAGCGGCGGCTTGTTGTGGCCAAAAGGACCCATTATAATCCATCTTTCAGTAATTACATTGGTAATTACATTGGTAAGAACAATCCTCTAATCCATCTAATTAGACCCTCTAATAATCTTTACTTGCAAAATAAAATAGGTTAACTATAATTTTTTTTATATATATTTTTAAACTTGCAATTCAACACCTTGGAAATTACTAAAGTTCTTTTCAACACTATGGAAAATTAAATTGTTTGACTTTTGAAAATTTAATATTTTTTAGCTTTTTTCTGAGAAAAAAAAAAAAAAAATAGACATTGTGATATTTACGAGTTCAATTTTGATCTTTACCACCATTGATATTTACAAATTTCAAACATTGAAAATTTTTTGCTCTTAATAGCTGATTAATTATCAGCTAATCCAACTTTAACACATCTAATATAAAATTAAAACATTTTTAATGTAAATAAACAACAACAGTTTCTTATTTTAACCTAAGGTAAAATGAAAATTCTTGTAAATATCATTTCTATCCACCGTTATTATCCGTCACCTTCGGCAACCTAACAACTCCAGTTGAACAACGCCGTCACCACCTCGAGTCCGATTATCGGTGGTGTTTCTATAACACCCGGTTATAACAGAAAATGAAAAAGAGAGAGAGGGAGAGAAATCGATAGGTGGTGGTCCGAATTTCAAAATTTTTGAAGGAGAAAGACATGAGGGAGGGACAAATACGGGTGGAGACAGATTCGTTGGTGGAGGAAGAGGGAGGTGTGGCGGAGATGAGGGGAGACGGATTCGTTGGTGGAGAGGGGTGGTGGTGTAAGTGGTCGTCGTTTTCACTCTTCTGGTAACTGTGATCGGAAAATCATAGCAGTAGATGCTGGTAGATGTTGTTGTCGGTCGGCGGTGGATGTTCTTGTCGGCGGTGGATGTAGTCACGACTCCTGGTCGGCTGAAGATGGAGCTGCTCAGGTTGTGAGGATGAGAGAAATATGTTTGGCGGCTGATAAAAGTTTAGGACTTTAGGGTTTAGTTTTTAATTTATAAGTGGTTGGTTTAGCCGTTTAGGGTTTTAAAAGTATTGAACTGGCTTAAAAAGATTGGGTTTTTTAAAAAACGAAAATTGGATTTTTTTTTTCTTAAATAAAAAAGTCTTTTCTTATAAAATTTATTTAAATAAGCTTTTTTAGTATTGAAATTTTATAAAATATTTATTTTTAGTACTTTTCATTTTTTATATTTGTGCAATATTCTAATTATTTATCTGTTATGGTTTTTTTTAGAGATGGTTAAGTTTTTTGGAATCAACTTGTCCGCTAAAGATGAAGATTTTTCTACAAAAACTTCAGCACTTTCCACCAATCGGATTATATAATTATATCAATTATGATGCTTTCAAATACAACATATATACTAAATCACTTGAAATTTGATTGCAGAAGTTCAAGTCTCGTAAGGAACTATTGGAGTGGACACAAAACACCGCACATTCTTTAGGATATGTCATTATTACTAGAAGATCAAAGACATATGGGAACAGCTTCGTGTAGAAAGTCATATTTATATGTGATCGTGGCACAAAGTATAAACCTAAAGAGTATACAAGTAAAGCATCTGAAAGCAAAATGACTAATTTTCAGTTTCAACTGGAAGGAAAGTATTCGAAAGAACATGACAACTGGACGCTAACGGTAATATGTGATGAACATAATCATCCACCGGCACAACATATGGAGGGTCATCCATTTGCAAGACGGTTATCTGTCGATGAGACTCGTTTGGTGGCTAATTTAACAAGAAAGAATGTGGCGCCACGTAACATCCTGTCAACATTGAAGGTTCAAAACAAAAACATTGTGTTGACAATTAAAACAATATACAATGCACAACAAAAGATTCAGATGCACGAGCAAGCAGGAAGAATTACAATGCAGGTTCTTAAATTCCTTTTACACACCAATGATTATGCCTATGAGTTTACTATAGGTGATTCGAATGAGTTAGAAAATTTATTTTTCGTTCATCCAACGTCTTGGAAGATATGTCGTGCATTTCCACATGTGTTGATAATAGATATCACGTATAAAACCAACAAATATAATAAACCGTTTGTTCAGATTGTTGGTGTGACATCAACTCAAAAGACATTCTCTATAGGCTTTGCCTTCATACATAAAGAAAAGGAGACCAACTATACTTAGGTGTTAAATTGTTTAAATTCGACGTTGGATACGTGTACGCTCTCACGTATAATAATCACAGACAGAGAGTTGGCACTTATCAAGGCATGTGAAACAGTTTTTCCGGATGCTGCATGATTACTTTGTAGATGGCATATTGAACAAAACATTTTGAAGCATTGCTACAAAATTATCATGTTGGAAGAGGATCGAGATCTTTTAAAGTCAAGATGACACTTAAGAAGGTGCCTCTCCTTCTAAATTAATATTTGTAGTTCGAAAATGTTCTGGATTAAACTACTTGTACATTAGCGTGCACTCCAGATAGACTACATAGCTTGGCTTTTTTTCAGATCCTAGTTTGAAACCACTTTAGAACTCGTATGAATTCGGAATTCCAATTACCTAATGTCCTCATGAAAAAAAAAATAGCAACATTTTATGCGATGTAGAGAATATTCACGGTGGCAGACGATCTATGATTGCGCGGATTGAGAAACCATCTATAATTAATGAAAATGTATTTACATACATGTATGATGTATCTATTACTACATGTTCTTCTTGGTCTATAACCACTAGACTTAATTTAGGGATGTTGCCGTTTCTTTAGTCGCACAGGTAAACCATTCTTCATACCTAGAAGAAGAGAGAGAGTATAGGGCGGAGCCACCATCTTTTCCGGCGTTCCACCACCGCCAATCACCTCAACCTCAAACTCATATATGATAGCAACAACCACGGACTTCATCTGCAAGTAAGCCATCTCTTTCCCTAAACACATCCTAAACCCACCATGAAACACCGGATACTTAAACTGATCCAATGGCTGGTATACCCCATTGTTATCCAGCCATCTTTCTGGTTTAAACTCCCTACAATCTGACCCCCATAACTTCTCCATTCTCCCCATGGCGTAGGCTGAGTAATCTGCAAACCACCCTTTTCCGACGTATGTCCCGTCTGGTAGCTTATCATGGTCCACCGTCAATCTGGAGTTGATTGGCACAGGTGGAAAGAGTCTCATGGACTCCGATAGAGCAGCATGAAGATAGTTCAGACTCTTCAACTCATCGAAGTTGAGGTTTTCTGGGTGGATATACGCCGATGAAGCCATTAACATAGAAAACTCTCTGTGAATCAAATCTCGACAATGAGGATGACCAGCTAATAACCAAAAGAACCATGTAAGTGCAGTTGCTGTTGAGTCTTTACCTGCAAGTATGAAGCTAATGATAATATCTCTCACAAATTTCCTCCTTTCGTCATCGTTAAAACCCATATCCCAACTTGAAGCCATGAATCTGGAGAGTAGATCTTCATCAGTTTTGGAATCACTCTGTGTTTCTTTCGATTTAATTATATCCATGGCGAACTGATTCACCGTTTCAATTGCTTGTTTGTACTTCCTCTCATTACCGATGTTGAGGAATCTCTTCATCTTCCACACCGCCGGGAGAGGCGACATGAACCGGTTGGAGACATGCTCAACTGCGGAATCAAATGCCTGAACAAACAACAGATTGTTCGAGTCCGTTGAATTCGATGTCAATAAACCTGGGTCAACCCCAAACGCAACGTTACATATGTTATCAAACCCGAATTTACGGAGGACTTGCTGTAGATCGAGTAATTCTCCGGCGTCAGCAGCGGATGAAAGATGAGGGATTAAAGATCTGGAAATTTGGGATTTGACAGTGTTGGTGATGAAGGTTCTAAGGGACTTGGTGTTGAATTCATAACTCGCGATCTTGCGTTGGGAGGACCAGATATGGCCGTCGGAATTGAAGATTCCTCTGCCAAGAAGCTCGTGGAGGACGGAAGTGTAACGGTGGCCCTTGATGTAATTGGGGAAGTTGGAGCGGAGAAGGTGGTGGAGGTTGGTGGGATCAGCTGTGCAGATACCGTGTGAGAGGCCGAGGAAGCCGTTGACTTGGAGTGTGAGAGAAGGGGTGGTGGAAAGCATGTCGGACACCCAATCGTGGAAACGGTGGCGGTTGCGGAGGAAACCGATGAGGTTTCCGATGAGTGGGTAGGATTGGGGACATGGGGTTTTGAGTTGAGAGTGGCGACGGCGTAGGAACAGAATTACAGACAAAGATAGGATGACGAGAGGAAGAACACCATAGAAGATGTCAGCGGCCATTTCATCTACATGTAGAGGATGAGGAGAGCAAATAGAATTGTTAACTTGATTCTTGAAAAGTTATGTCGACAGCATTTGGTGTAAAAATAAAAAAATAATAATAATAATAAAAATAAAAAATAAATAAAAAAAAAACATTATTTAAAAGGCTCCAGCTAGCTATTTTATCCCATTCACAATCTAACTACCTCCTAATTATTATCCCTAACTATTTTTTTTTTTTTTTGGTTAATAAGACATCCTATTTTACAATTTAGATAACCCTAATTAATGTTTGAAATATTTTTATTGGTTGAAATTGCATTGTTTTCGGAAAAAAATGATTACAAGATGTTGATTATAGGTTGACTTTTTATAAAAATGATTATAGGGTGTCTAAGGGGTGTCTTATTAGCATCACTTTTTTTTTTATTTAATTGTAATCATCACGTATATCATTATACAATGATTTATATCTTTTCATTCTTATTAACTTTGTAATAAATATGTTTTCTTTTTTAATATAGATTTTATAATATTTTTAAATCTTATTATTTATTATTGTTTTATTTAAATTATTTATTTGTTTTTTTTTTGTCAAATTTAGAAAAAAAAATTGACAAAATTTCACAATTGGTCCCTGTGGTTTACATAATATCGCACTTTGAGGACTTCCTAGTTAAAAATCACGCGAATGGTCCTTAAGGTTTCAGTTCATTGCGAAATTGGTCATTGACCCTAAACCTGTCACTTTTGAACCATTAGTGCAGGGATAATTTTATCTTTTCAGCTCACAGTAAATGTAATAATCCTTCGCACATAACACACACATGATCTCTGCGATTAAGTACAAAGATCATCTTCCCCAGCTCCCCATTACCCTTTCACATTCATCTTCGTCTTCTACAACACAAGACAAGGATCATCTTCCAGTTCGATTGAAAACGATAATGGTGTTAACGTTATGGTCAGTCCGTTCCAAATACACGAAAGCATCAAACTATGATTTGGAAAGAATATATCGTAAGTGATTTACTAAACTGATCATATATTTTGTCGATATGAAATTACGCCCAAGTAGTTGAATTTTTTTTTGTTATTATTTATTTCAGAGGGAATAAGCAACTACTTCACATTAAAAATCCATCATGGTGGGATATTCACAAAAAAACCCTGGGAGAAGGTACGTAGATGGAACAATAGACTATGTTGACTTCGTAGATATTGACGTTTTCTCTGTACATGAGTTGGATACAATGGTTCGAGAAATAGGGTACGTAGAAGCGCAAACTTTTATCATTTTCTTATTCCGGAAGTAGAGTTGGACTTTGGTCTCTTACCTCTAGGAAATGATAGGGATATGCATGTATTGTCAAATTATGTGGAAAAAATAACCTTTTAAGTATCTACAAAGAGCATGGGTATACAAGGGTTAACAGTTATTTTTTGTCCCCCACAAAGGTTATTATTGAGGAGTTGGTTAATGATGTGTTCCCTTAACTAGATAGGAACCAAAAGAAGGGAAAAGTTGTTGGATCTTCTAGGAAAAAATTAGACTACTCCCAATCCATTGTGTCATATGGAACATTTGGTGGATCTTCCCAAGTGATACAGGGTAATGAACCAGTCATGGATGATGTGCCAGTTATGAATGATGAACCAGTCATGACTGATGAGCCAGTCATGAATGATAAGCCAATCATAGATAATGAACCAGTTTTAGATGATGAATATGATTGTGAGGATAATGCAGATGAAAGTGAATTTGATAGTGCAGATGAAAGTGAATTTCATAGTCAACATGATGCAAAAAAAAACAGTCTTTGATGATGAACCTTTGATAGATGAGGTGGAGGTGAACATGATCAACTTATGTAGTGTACTTGATGAAGACATTGACTTGGGGCAGCTTGATCTGACAAATAATAATACAATGGAACATGAAGACATTGAATATGAACCTTTAGAAGTCTTAGATAATGATGTGTTTAAATCATTTGCTAGTGAACAAGAGCCTAGAAAGAAATTGTTAAAGTCCATTCTAAAACCAATTGCTTGTTCATCTAGTGAAGTTCACACTAAAGCTTTTAAGATTGGTCAGACATTCAAGGAAAAGGAAAAGATCAAAGAAGCTATTGCCAACTACTCTGTAAAAGAAATGAGGGATCTACATTATGTAAAGAATGACAAGATAAGAATTAGGGTAAAGTGTAGGGGTATTGTTCCTTAATTGACTAGTGACAATAATAAAGGTAGGGGAAATTTAGTACTTTCCAAAAAAAAAGTTGTCCATGGGTTCTTTTTATATCTAGGGCAGATGAAAAACAAGTTTGGATTGTCAAAAAATACAAAGATTGTCATTCGTGTTTGCAAACAAGGACAGTGATGGCTTGTTCATCTAAGTTTCTAGCTAACAGCATATTGAAAGTAATCCCAATATCCCTACACGTGCTTTATAGGAGGACTTAGTACAGAGGTATTCACTTTCAATATCAAGGTGCAGTGGCAGCAACGAAAGGGTTCGAGTGGACATGGGAAACCGAGGAGGAGATGAGGGAGCATTACCCGAAGTTATTTTTAGATTCAGTAGTAGCAGACTTTGAGGACGAAGTCTAAGATAATTAGGGGAGAGTTGTAACACCTCGTTTCTGGTACGCATTTAAAACATTATTTTTCTTCTTATTTTAGAAGCTACTCGACGAGTCAGTGGCCCTAACTCGTCGAGTAGCAGCGGGTCAGCACGTGAAGTTGGCGTGGCGACTCGACGAGTCCATATTCCTGACTCGGAGAGTCCGCCAATCTGGATGAAGCCCTAATTTGCAGGGTGTGTACCATATTTAAACATCATTATAGCCACAAACCAGTCTCCTTCACCTCTCAGAGACATATTTCTAAAACCCTAACCTCCTTTAAAGTGTGTGTGGGTGATCTTTGCCCTTGTGAAGGAATTTTTGGTGTATTGTTGAGCAAGAAAAAGAAGGAGAAGGTAGAAAAACTCAAGGAAGAAGAAGTAGATCCAGATTATACTCCTCTTTGGGCATCCTTTCTGGTAATAATGCTTTCATCTTGATTATTGTACTACTAGATCTAGTTTGTCCCCAAATTGATGGTTTTGAGCTCAAAAACCCCAAATCCCTAGTGATGAAGCTTTGTAATCGAGCCATATCTCGGATCTAGCCTCTCTTGAGCTCCAGGAGCTCAAGAAGGCCACCTTTTGACAGCCATGGTCTTGTTTTGGTCAAATAACCCCCATAATAGCCAAGTTTGAGTGCTATTGCTTCATTGCATCATAGATACATGTAAAGTTAGCAATTTTACATGTTTAGATAGTCCCAGAAACCCAGATCTATGTATTGAATACACTAAAGCTGATTAGAATCGACCAAATAGAAACTGTATGCAAAGGACTCGGTGAGTCAGGTCGCGAGTCTTAGATCCCCGGTTCAGCAGTAGCGAGACTGTTTAGTGAGAGGAGTAAGGACTTAGTGAATTAAGTCATGGATCTGAGTGTAGAGGGACTCGGCGAGTCCAAGGCAATCTCCTTACCCGTCAGAACAGACTTGACGAGTTGTTCATACAACTCGGCGAGTCAATAGACTGGACGTGTTCTTATGTTGAAGGTGAACTCGACGAGTTAATTATACAACTCGGCGAGTCGGATGAAGGTTGGCACGATGTCAATAAGGAAGGGGAACTCATCAAGTTGTGGCTAAACTCGGTGAGTAGAGTCAGGTAAGGAAACAGAAGGAAAGATAGGGACTCGACGAGTTGACGACCTAACTCGGCGAGTCAAGTCAACAGGTTGTTGACTTTGACTAGGGGTAAAATAGTCATTTTACCCTAAGATTAGTTATCAGTGTTTGATTAAGTGTCTTTTGGGAATTGTAGTCGGGGAGTTACCGGAGCAGCAGTCATACAGTTCCCGATCAGCTTTTCAACAGATTGCACCCATGAATCCACTAACACCAGTACTAGATAGAATCTTAATTAATAGCCCAAAATCCTCAAGCTTGAACCAACGTCAAAATTGGTAAAAAAAATCAACGATGAATGGAAGTCAACGAAAGTCAAAGTCTAAGGTTGCTGAGTACGCTCAACGTACTCAATGTACGCCCATCGTATGCGGCCTGATCCCACTTTTTCATTAAGCACTTTGTCCCTTAAGGTATTTTGTCCAGGGCTCAAATCTAGACTCAAAACATCGAATTAAGTCATAAAGTTTCCACCTTTATGACTTTCCATGGCTAGAAAAGGTCCAAAAGCTAAAATCCAAACTTATTAATCCATTAAGACATCACAACTCTTGCATGGAAGGGATAGAAGGACCAAGATCACATTTTATGGTTTCTATGTAACACCTAAAGTCAGGAAGGCCAAGAAAGGAAAGAAAACCCTAAGTTTAAGGGACGACTCGACGAGTCCAAGGAGGAACTCGATGAGTCCGAGCGGGATCCGGGTCAATGAGTAAGTGATCGACTCGGCAAGTCGGCTAAGGAGACTCAGCTAGTCTGGTCTGAACGAGGAAAACCCTAAATCCAGGACTTGGAGCCTATTTAAACATCTCATTCCCTCCCCTAAGGTTCCTTTACTGCCTCTTTCACCCAGAACACCGAATCCTAAGCCCCATTGTTGCTCATTCAAGCTTCCAAGCCATTTTTGGGTGATTTGAAGGAAAAAGAAAGAGGGGAATCATTGAAGCTTCAAGGATTGGCCTTAAATCTGGAGTTTGTGGAACCTTTCTGAGTTATTGAAGGTACTAAGTCGTTTCCTTCATATAGATCTATTCTAGTAGAGAGCTTTAGGGTTTTTTTAGCCATGATTAGTTATCCATATGAGTTGGAAGCCAGATCTGAAGTTGCTACTTCGGATCTAAGCATACTTTGGCCTTGTGCAGCATAAAGTATATGTTCTTGAGTTGATTATAGAGCCTCCTTGCCATAAACCCTAGTTTATGGTGTGTTTAGCCTAGATCTCCTTCTCTACACGTATAGTTTGCAACTTTACGTGAGGAATGGGATTGGGAAGGGCAGATCTACAGTTTGGAGTCCATGCATGACTCAAAATCCCTCTGCATGTTTGAGGATCTGAATGGACTCGGAAAGTCCTTTGAGTGGACTCGGCGAGTAGCATGAAGATTAGGAGCAACTCGACGAGTGGGATGAACAACTCGTCGAGTCAGATGAAGATTGCCTTGTACTCGGCGAGTCTGCTCTTGGACTCGGCGAGTCAGGTCGCGAAACCCCAAACCCTTCGAGTTGAGACTCAAATCAGTGAGTCGAGTGGAGACTCGGTGATTCGGATAGGTCAGGACTCGGAAATCGGTAGACTCGACGAGTCATGGACTGACTCGGCGAGTCAAGTCGCGAAAGGAAGGACACTGAGCATATGAACTCGGCGAGTCAGTAGGTTGACTCAGCGAGTAGGGTTGACATGGGAGGGTGACCTTGACCAGGACTTTGACTTTGACCAGCGTTGACTGGATTGACTTTCGGGGGTCAATTAGACTAAGTGTTGCATTGATATTGGTAGCTCGGAGAGCTAGTAGAGCAGGAGTTCAGAGAGTTGTTGAGCAGCAGCTAGAGGGGTTATCAGCAAGAGCAGGTGAGTTTCCCTTTGTGTGAATGGGTCTAAGGCCACAATGCCGGCCCATGTCGATACAAGTAGGAAGACCCGGGGGTTAGCCCTAGGTACAACATACTAGTATGATATTCAGGACGAGGTCCAATGATAGTGGACGGGTTCCCAAGGAATGGTTTCTATGTTAGTTTATACTTGTTGTTTGTGTGATACATGTATGTGCCTGGTAGGGAGATGAGTGTGGGTGAGGTCCCTTATCTCACTAATAGCAGAGTGTGGATGGTGTTCCACATCTCATTAGCAGCAGAATAGGGGCGTGGCCCAAGTTAGGGAAAGAGTGAGTGTGGGATGGGCCCGTATCTCACTATCAGTAAGGGCATGGACGGGGTTCCATGACTCATCAGTAGTAGGACAAGGGCGAGGCCCAAGATAGGCGAGGCCTCAGGACAGGATTTGTGAGTATATGTTAGCTTATGTGTTGTTATATGCTTATGTGCTATTATATGTTAGCGGGCGGGGCCCAATGACAGGCGAGGCCTAAGTTAGACAAATTTGTATCCGAGCGGGGCTCGAAGCCAGGCAGGGCCTGGAGCGGCGGGGCCGTTTGTAACACCCCGTTCTTTAAGTGTTTAATTATGAGTCCCTGAGATTTAAGAGGAAAGGTAATTCTGGTCCTTTTCGAGAAATGAGTTTCATCCGAGAAGGCTTCGGGCGGGTGTATGTGTTAGAAGTATTGGGCTTCTCGTCACCCTCGTATGAATGTAAATTTATTTGAGAGCGGGTTTAGATTAGAGGAGTTACGGTGCTTCGAAGTTGATCATTGTTTATAGCTCTTTGTAGTATGAGTGGAAAAAGGATCCCATGCATGCATGGCATGCATGTAATTTTTGAAAGGTGGCTGGGTACGCCCAACGTAAGCTGGACGTACGCCCAGCGTAATGGGACGAAATTTTGCGGGTGGCCCGGTGAGTACGCCCAGCGTACCAAGGAAACCCCAAACCCTATTTTTAGGGTCAGCCACTATATAAGGATCATGTTGGTTCACCCCTCAGCCTCCTTATGCTCATCTTCACCTCAGAGAAACCCTAGATCTCGTATTCTCTCATATTTGGGTGTGTTTGACCTTGGAAAGCTCTTGTTGGCAAAAGAAAGGCTTGAAGGAGAAAAGGGAAGTTGTCAAAGAAGAAGAAGAACGTGTGGAGCTTGTAGATCTGAAGAAATACCACCCTTTGGAGCTTGTTTGAGGTATAAAGCTTCTTGCTTGACCTTCATATTGCATAGATCTATGTATTTTGAAGCTTTGTTACTATTCTTGTCCCAAAAGTCCTCACCTTGTTGCATAGTTCGATTTGGTCAAGATTATCTGTCCTTTCAGATCTTTGGAGAGGTCTTGAGTGATAAAAATGAGGTCCCAAGGGCTATAGTTGTTCCATGTATGAGATATATAGGTCTTAATGGATTAAGACCTTGGATTAAGAGCTTAAGGACGTCCCAAGTGATAAAGTCTGAGACTTTATGATTTCTAATCATATTTGGCCTATGGATCTGAAGTTTGGGCTTAAGAGCTTAAGTCATTAAGATGTTAAAAGGACTTATTGAACATTGCAGTTACGCCCCGCGTAGCGGGCCATTGCCCCGTTCTCATTTGCATTG